ATTTATGTTAAAAGCTAAATAAATTTAAATTCTTAATATTGGCAAGTGTGCAATTAACTTCTGATGATGAATAATTACTGTTCAATAAGTTTGAATACGGAATTAGAAATCATATAACTTGGTTTCATAGTGCGGTAAGAAGTTGCAGTTGCCTGACGGCCCCTCTCTGAGGGCCCCTTTGTAAACCGTTTCATCTCGCTCGCACCACTTATGTTACCGGCGCTATTTTTAGCCGGGCTTTCCCGAACAATTCAAGTGGTCAAACTGGACATTTGGAACGGACTATGAATATGGGGATAGCGAGGTAACATAAGTGGAAGTGCATACAATACATACATTCATTAACAAAAAAACGCCTTTTCACGTGATGTCCCTTTAAACAAGAGGCCCAGAGGGCCTGTATTGCTCACCTGGATATCTAAGCAATCATGGCAAAATATTCTCCTTATGAGATCCAAGAGAATGGGCCAGACCCTAAGGCCAAACCTTGTAGCATATCTGTATTAGATTGTACATGCCCAGCAAGTTTATGCATGGTTATGGGGTAGGTATCTCAACTGTTTCCAAGCTGTAACTAGGTCCCTAGGGTTGTGGCAAGACCCCAGGGTCAATTCTAATATCATGACAACATTTGTCTCTTTATGCCCAGCATTTGTATATATAGTTTTGGGGTAGGGATCTCAACCATTTCAAAGTTATGACTCGGGGGTTAAGTTTGCAAAGGTGGGGCAGATCCCAGGGTCAGTTCTAATATCATGACAGCATTTGTCTCTTTATGGCCAACAACTGTATGTAAAGTTTTGGGGTGGGGATCTCAACCGTTTCGAAGTTATGACCCAGGGGTTTAGTCTCCAATGGTGGAGCCAGACCCCGGAGGCCATCCTGGAAGCATATGTGCATTCTTCTCTTTATACTCAGCAATTGTATATATTGTTATAGGGTGGGAATCTCAACCATTTCCAAGTAATAAACTATTTGTACAGTTTTGAATCCCAACCTCCCCTGAATGCTTCTGACCAAATATGATTTATATCCAGTGCATTGTTCTACAGAAGTCGTTTATAGCAATATAGCCAAATTGCCCCATTTTGGCCCTACCCCTAAGCCCCCTGGAGGGTCAGCCCTGCCATTTCAAATTCCCACTACCTAGGGATGCTTCCAGTCAAATTTAGTCAAATTCCAATTTGTGTTTAAGAAGTCGTTAGAAGAAATTGTTGACGGAAGAACAGACGACGGACACTACGGTACGGCATAAGCTCACCATGGTCCTTCAGACCAGGTGAGCTTAAAATCACTGCTGTCGTTTCATATTTCATGTATTAAGTGTAATTATTATCAAATGATAATGTGCAAGTATATACATATGTATTCTTGCCTACCAGACAGAATTACTTACACTTTGCTAGAAATTCTGCCTAGCCATTTTCATGCACTAACAATAGCATGCCCAACTGAATATAAAGCAAAATGAGATTCTGATTTCAATGTGCTTTTGATAAAACTGCAGGCAAAGAAGGAATCAATCAGCCCTGTGTTGTGCAAACAATATCCTCAGTCCTCAAGAATTTTAAGCGTCCAGAACTGGGCGAAGCTTTATTCTGGATAACCAATAATATAATCTCACTCTGGGATGAGATTTCTCATGGGTGTTACATATAGATTCTATAATATAATAAGTACAATAAATTGTATCAATTTAAGACCATAATGAACTGGAATTTAAACCTAGAATATTTTAGATGTAATTACCAATGCTTGGTTAAACAACACTTAATAGTTGATAGTTATACAACACTTAGCCGAGTTAAATTAAACAACTTCATGCAATAAAATGACTGATTTCATTACATAATATTAACACAGTAGACTAAACTCAAATGAAACAATTAGTTTACTGATATATCAACAAATCAGGATAGACTAGATAATTAATTTACATAAGCAAAACTGGTATACATGTAAATGAATAAAAAAAAATCAATATTCACTTATGTCAACAAATTAAATTAGAATAGACAAGAAGTGTAGATAATCATTTCACTTTCATAAAACCAATAGATTAACTAAAAATGAAATCAATATTCACTGATCTTAAGTCTATCTCAAAATTAGGATCAACAAAATTAAAGTTATCAATTAACTTAAAAACAAACCATTCAACTAGACTTAAAATTGAACTTAATTAGTTCTGTGATATCAACAAATTAGGAAAGACTAATTTCTCTTGTAGATACACACAACACATGTGTGTTACATGTAGATTCACACAACACATGTGTGTTACATGTAGACTCACACAACACGTATGTTACATGTAGATTCTCACAACAAATGTGTTACATGTAGATTCTCACAACAAATGTGTGTTACATGTAGATTCACACAAAACATGTGTGTTACATGTAGACTCGCACAACACATGTGTGTTACATGTAGATTCTCACAACAAATGTGTTACATGTAAATTCTCACAACAAATGTGTGTTCATTTGCATGTATGTATGTAGATTCACACACCGCATGTGTGTTACATGTAGACTCGCACAACACATGTGTGTTACATGTAGATTCTCACAACAAATGTGTGTTACATGTAGATTCACACAAAACATGTGTGTTACATGTAGACTCGCACAACACGTGTGTTACATGTAGATTCACACAACACATGTGCTACATGTAAATTCTCACAACAAATGTGTGTTCATTTGCATGTATGTATGTAGATTCACACACCACATGTGTGTTACATGTAGAATTACACAACTGATGGAGTTACATATAGATTCTATGATATAATAAGTGCAATAAATTGTATCAGTTTAAGATCATAATGAACTGGAATTTAAACCTATAATAGTTTACATGTAATTGCCAGTGCTTGGTAAACAACACTTAGTTGTGTTAAACAACGTTTGACAGAGTTAAACAACTACATGTAGTTACATCACTAATTTCATCACATAAGAATGGACTAGAAATTCAACAAATTAATTCACTATGGTAGACTAGAAATTTAACACAGTAGACTAGAAATTTGAATAGTTAATGAAATCATATCAAGTAGACTGGACAGAAAATGAAATTAATATTCATAGATACCAACAATCTAGAAAATACCAATAGGACAGTTAACTTAAACTTATCAATTCACTAAAAACAATTAGTAGACTAGACTAAAATTTGAACTAAGTAGGTCACTGACATCAGCAAATAAGAATAGACAAGAAATTTAACAAATTCACAAAAAATCAAGCCAGTAGCCTTCACTATAAATGAAACTAATATTCAGTGATATCATGAATCAAAAGTAAAAATACCAGTAGAACATACAAATTGTTCAATCTCCTTAAAACAAACCAGTAGACTAGACTCAAAATGAAACTTGTATTCACTTATCCATATCAACGCATTAAAACTGAATTGAAACTGATTAACTCAGATATCAACATTGTAGAACATATATTACTTTGTAAACTAAAGTAATATATCATGTACATACAACTGCTGTCACACTTGACGGAACTTTCGGACTTGTACAGTCTTAGCATTTGCCATTTTTAGCTTGTTCGGTTATATAATAAGTTTTTAGAGGGAACAATTTTGACCTGAAATATGAATGATAATGGAAAATAATTTAATCTTGCTTGTAACAAGCATTTTTAATTGGCTTAAAAATTTATGTTATCAGCCCATAACGTAAAAAAATGACGTCGCCGTTTGTAATGTCGCTTTTGATTGGCTGATACAGCAGCGTAATAATTTCTAAGAGAAAAGAGTCCATCAATAAAAGTGGATTTCCACAGGGATTGTGTAAAGTAGACTAAATTATAAGGATTAACTTCGCGGTTTATTTAGAGTACACTCCGTTTTTTTGTGTTATAGCTCCATAACATGAAAAATCTATTCAAGTTAATCCTTAAATACATTGTTGGGCACTGAAATATTCAATAGTTTGTCAAAAGAGAAGCTCATTTGAGTTTATGTTACTTGTTTGTGATACCCAAAAGTAATTTAAGATTATTGCTTCTTGCAATGAATCTTTAAAACCAAAAATACTGAAGGATTTATTCCTCATTTTTTATGACATTCAAGAAGAAAAAACCAACTCCTGACATCACAAAAGAGAATATTCACGGTAGTGTCATACAAATAATGTAATGGTTTTGACATCTCAATCCAAACAAAAGGCACATCATGTATTAAATGTTTTAAGTGGTATATATTGCCCGACACTTATACAAAGTACCCCAAACCTTTTTGTGGTCAGTGCACAATTTGTTACTGTGAGAAATTTTAAATGTCTCACAGTATAGGGCTAAAATATATCCCCCCCCCCCCCCAAAAAAAAAACACCCCAACAAATATCCTGTTTTATCCAATTCATCTAAAATAAAATACACCAAAAAAGGTTAAAACAATAATGCTATCATGTCAGTAGCCTATTAATGCAGTGTTTCAAATTTGCATGCATTGTCCTGCCACTAAGCTGCAATGGGGACAAAAATGTACTAATAATGTGTGGTACATGTATCATAAAATTCTTTCATGATATTTGAGAATATTCACTATCATTAGAACTTCATTTAACTCATAATGATTTCCAATACAATGACAACACTCCATAATTCGAAAAAGAACAACATGTTATATATCATTACACCCAGTACTGGTATACTAACAAAATTTACAGTTTCATTATTTTATATGGAGTATCTGGATGTTTGGCAAAATGACATAACTTGATACTTGGCAAACACCTAGATAAATGGACTCAATATAATTTTGCAAACAGCAATTCAAGTAAATAAACTTTAAACATGTTTTGAACAGTTCAGTAGGTATTTTGGAGGTTGGCCTTGAACTTAACGTCAGTAGATGTCTGTGGTCTAGAACTGTTCAGTAGATGTCTTTGGTCTAGAACAGTTCAGTAGATGTCTTTGGTCCTGAACTGTTCAGTAGATGTCTTTGGTCTTGAACTGTTCAGTAGATGTCTTTGGTCTTGAACAGTTCAGTAGATGTCTTTGGTCTAGAACTGTTTAGTAGATGTCTTTGGTCTAGAACTGTTCAGTAGATGTCTGTGGTCTAGAACAGTGCAGTAGATGTCTGTGGTCCTGAACAGTTCAGTAGATGTCTTTGGTCTTGGAACAGTTCAGTAGATGTCTTTGGTCTAGAACTGTTTAGTAGATGTCTTTGGTCTAGAACTGTTCAGTAGATGTCTGTGGTCTAGAACAGTTCAGTAGATGTCTGTGGTCTAGAACTGTTCAGTAGATGTCTTTGGTCTTGAACAGTTCAGTAGATGTCTTTGGTCTAGAACTGTTCAGTAGATGTCTGTGGTCTAGAACAGTTCAGTAGATGTCTTTGGTCTAGAACTGTTCAGTAGATGTCTTTGGTCTTGAACAGTTCAGTAGATGTCTGTGGTCTAGAACAGTTCAGTAGATGTCTTTGGTCTTGAACAGTTCAGTAGATTTCTGTGGTCTAGAACAGTTCAGTAGATGTCTTTGGTCCTGAACTGTTCAGTGGATGTCTTTGGTCTAGAACTGTTCAGTAGATGTCCTTGGTCCTGAACTGTTCAGTAGCACTTCATATACTATAATCACAGAATAGATGTCTTTGGTCTAGAACAGTTCAGTAGATGTCCTTGGTCCTGAACTGTTCAGTAGATGTCTTTGGTCTAGAACTGTTCAGTAGATGTCTTTGGTCTAGAACTGTTCAGCAGATGTCTGGCCTTAAATAATTCAGTAGAAGATGTTTTGAGTCTTGAACAGTTGTGCAAAGTTACTTCCTGTTTCTCTGTTAGAACTGGCCAGCAACCTGAAATTGAAGTTGCATTTCTTGTTTAACTTTAAATTACATCTCATTCTTTCATTTTTGCACTGTATTGCTTGCAATTCACATCATTGCCAATGGGAAATGACCCATTCCATGAAGTGCAAGTTTTTTGAATTTGGCATCATTATTACCTGATTATTACCTGAAAATTCCAACTGAAAGCAGTTTAATGCTTATATTTCACAGTTTTACAATATGTCACAATCATAGAAAAGAAAAAAGTTCATCGTAAGTATTACCTTAAGATTCAACAAGCCTCCTAAAAGATGTAATAGTCACCCTAAATTTCAACTCCCCTGCAAGTCATATTTAAATACCCTTATCAAAAATCGGAATATATATATGTAATTTCAATATATTGATCTTGTACATGAGCTATTAAAAAGGTACACAACCAGGTTAACAAAGTCAAAATACGCCATTAAGGCTGATGTAATTATAAAAGTTGATCACCAGATTTATAACATGTCAATTTCTTAAGCGACCCAACTCAATGTTACCAAATGACATGGTATTTGAAGATCATTTATATACCTAGGTCATACAGGGCTTTATTTATCTTTAACTATGTGTGGAGAGGCATACCGGCCTCACAAGAAGATGATTATTGCTATGGGAAAGTACAAAAATCATAGTATTTTATCGGTATTTATGTGTAAAATCATAGACCTTTGACCATAAACACTACTTAAACTTCATATAAAATGTCATTTCCCAACATTCGATGTTGTTAAAAAATAGCTAGACTTGTTATAAACATTTTTGTACTTTTCAGCTTCAATGTTTATAACATGTCTAGCGCATTCATATAATCACAGAATGTTATCAAATGGTACATCATCTAAAGTTCATTAATCAATCAAAGTTACTTAGCCTTTGTTTTCTTATTCATAAATTGCTGAAATGTGTTACCAGGGGATTTAACTATGATTTCAGTGGTTTCGTATGGCAACATCTATCTTTATTTGAGGTCAGAATTCCTCTCAACAGCTAGTAGAAGAGAAATAAAACTCTGCATGACCTAGGTATATAAATAAACTTTAAATTATGGGTCATTTCCCAGCACTCAGTTAGGTTGCTAAAGAGATTGACATGTTATTAGTCCAGTAAGCCATTTTTATGAAGACATCAGCTTTAATGCCTTATTTTTGACTATGTTAATTACCTGGCTATGTATTTTTTGTATAACCAATGTACAAGGTCTATATATACAAATAACATATATAAGGTCCGATTTTTAATATAAGGTCTTTGAACATGACTTATCAAGGGGTTGAAATTTTCGGTGACTACAGCATTTTTTAGGGAGCTTGTTGAACCTTGATAAGAAATTCTATGCTTTAACCACTGCCCCGACTTCCAATAAGAGTCGGAGGTGTCGCAGGATTAGCTTTACAACATCATAATAATGATGACACCTTTAGCAATTCACTCGTGGCATTTAATATAATCACATTTCTATAAATCGAACTTATAAAGATTAAAATTTCTTGATGAAGTCCAGATATTACTCCTTATAATATCACTACTGACATTCCCTTTTTGAATCAAACTTTAATCAGTTGAATTTCTTGGCTTTTTAGAACGACAATTAAGATCTGATTCTTGAAAAACATTGAAAATCACAACTGATAAATTGAAGTAATACAACTACAAGTATGAGAACATTGAAATGTCTCTTGGTCATTTTTACACCTAAACATCCAAACTAGTGTACATATAATTGTAAACATATTTTGATGACTTTTCCAATAAGATATCTTGTGTTCTGTCACTTAACAATCTCGTTCAGTCTTATGCAATATAATACAGGATTTCAAAGATGCGAGAAGTACAACATTTGTGAGTCAAAGACTCAATGTTTCTAATATATACTGATGGTCACGCAAAGTTCAAAACATCCAAGTTTGACTGTAATAGAAAGATACTTCTTAAACTGCCCAGTGAATTTGATAGGGCAATGGCTGGTTGGTTTAGGATATAAATACCTTCTGGTGTGTCGGGATGTCCGTTTTTGAGGTGGAGTCATGTCCCCAAACATATCACACAGACCCTGGGTCACAGTCTGTTAACAGTAAATTCAGGAAAATGTTGCTATGTTTGCCTCTCAAAATATTAGGGTAGGCAGGTAAGACGAAACTTGTTTTTTGTGGAACATTTTTGCAACTTGGTTATACAAACAGCAGGTGTTTGTGATTTTAACAGTGCTTGTTCAGTGATTGATTTATAATGGGTTCTTTTTAACTGTAAATAAAATGTTAAAAATGATAGAATGGGTTCAACCAAATTGATTTAGTTATTCTGATGCAGGTGTGTTTCAACTTCCTATAGATTTTCATAAGACCAAAACAAAAAAAAGGCCAAACATTGTTGTGTTTTCCACTGCCTGAACAAATTAGGCTCGTTTTTGTTTGTTTTTGTTTTTGTTTTTTAAATATATTTCCTATGCTTAAATAAAGAGCAGGAGTTCTGACTTTTAACAGTGCTTATCACTAAATGCCAATAAAAAATAAGGGTAGGCCAAAACATCTAGGGTTGGTAGGGAAACCGGAAACACACATGTTTATTTGATATTTTCTATGAATCTGCCTGACCTACACTTTTGTTAAAAAATTGTGCATCACCAATTACCTTGTCTGCAGACACCGATCCCTGTGTACTGGGTCCTTGTCCAGATGTAGGCTGAGAATTTGCCGCAGAGGAATCAGATGACACACTCGACATCTGAAACATTAGGGTACCCAAACATCTGAATGAAAATTATACCAACAATCCAATTGATTCAATTGAAATAATTTATGGCCAAAACAAGAGTGTCAAATGTCATAAATCCCAGAAAGTCCAAAATGCAGTTTCTAACAAAATAACTGTTATTTCTGATGACAGCAAGTGAAGCCAAACAAAATAACTGGTGTTTCTGATAACAGCAAGTGAGGTCAAACAAAATAACTGGTGTTTCTGATAATAGCTGTAAAAATAGTCCAGTAGCTTGGCGTAAAGCAGTCATCTATTGTATTTAAATGTTCTTTTTTACATTTTGATAAATAAAGAAAAATATTTACAACAGAATCTTTTGAATGTATGCATTAAAAAGAATTGTTTTGTTTATGATCTAAAACGTTGTTTCGCCACTCCAGTAAGAGTATAGGCTATCATGAAATCTGGATTTTCCATACCAATGATACAAGGCCTAGTCGGTAATCAGTTAGATTGAAATTAAACAAGAGGCCCAGAGGGCCTGTATCACTCATCTTGATATTTAAGCATTCATATCAAAATAATCTCATTAAATATTATACTGCAATAGAAATACTTTGCCTTGTCGGCTCCATCTGTTGAAGCTATCAGCCTTATGTTTTTATATGATTCTATGCTTTTCAGTTCTTCTTCAGAAGTGTTTGACATATTTGCCCCTTTGACCTTGTAAGAAAGTGAAGGTCATTTCCTTCTCAAACTTTGTTGGCTCTTTTGCAAGAAGCTACCAGCCAAATCTTATGAATCCATGCCTTTTGGTTCTTCAGATCAAGCTGTTTGAAGTGTTGTTGACCTCTGTGATCTTTAAAGGAGGTTGAGGTTATTTTCATTTGCAAAGTTTGGTGAGCTCTATTTCAAATATTATTATTCTATGCCTTTCCATTATTCAGAAGTCAGGATGGTTTTTTTTAAATATTTGACCCCTGTGACAACAAGCAGGTCAAGGTCATTTTCATTTGCACACTTTGTTTTGCTCCACCCCAAGAAGCTACCAGCCAAATATTAAGATTTTATAACTTTCAGCACTTCAGAAAAAGGCGTTTAAAGTGTTTGACACATTTGACCTGTGAGGTAGCAGAGTACAGTAGCGTACGGTGGCCATGGGTGATATTTTTATACAACGAATAACCCCTGTAATATAACATGTATCAAAATTAAAAAAAAAAAATCAGCACTAAAATTGGCATATACATGATGAAGTGGACTATGTGGGCTTCATAATTTTTCAAAAAAAAAATCAAATTTGGTTTGAGACTACAATTTTGGGCATTTATAAATCTGTGTCTACACAACAACATGAGTATTTCTGTTACCGAGTAGACGATATTTAATTTCAGACAGGTTTGAAGAAAAACAATTCTACTTGTGGGGGTCAAATTCTGGGTTAAAAATCATGATTTTTTGCATATTTTGGTGTTTTTTGATGTGGTAACCATGGTTTTCAGAAGTCCCAAATCTGGGGAAATCACTTTTTGGGAAAAAAAATGTTCTTCTAAAAAACACCTATTCAAAATGTAGTTTATAAATATATACATATATGTAGGTGTGTTGTGCAGGATGAATCCGCTATCCATGTTTATCCGAGACATGCCCTTTATTTTTAGGGTCAAGCCATTTCTACTGTACTCTGCCACCTTATACACACAGACATTGATTTTTTCTGAAAAAAAGCCTTTTTATGCTTTATTCAGCTTCACTTTCATTCATTATTGCTTAAAACTACTCAAAACGTTTAAAAAGTTACATATAAAGGTCAATATATAGGTCACTAGCCTATTACCTGTGAATGTATAAAGAGGGGTTAACTCGCCCTTTTCACAGGCACTTCACACTTCATCACATATGTGTCAATTGTGTAATTGGTAAAGTTGATACCAAACAACAAATAATTAACAGGCTATCTCCTGATGCATTCAGACCAGATTTCAGTCTGTTTCACTTAGTTCAGCACCCGGTATCCATGGTAACTAACACATAAAGTTGTATTTATTGAAAATGGGTAAAATATCTGTTTTCATTCTAATTACACTATTTTATATGTTTTTTTCCACTTGATTCAGCTTACAGATTAAATTAACAAAGTCAATAATGTCAATAAATTTTATTTCCATAATTACAGCTGAAGAAAACTTTTTTTTCTAGTGAAATATGTAAAATGACCAATGTCTGGGGTCACTGTCAATTCTAGGCGAGGAAAGTAAACAACGGTTGCTATGGTGTCATTTGTCTGATGTTTCAGAATATCTGACAGTTTTGTGCTGTTCATCGGTTACGGGAAGTGTGTCTGTTTCTAGTTTGTTGTTGTGATGGGTTTCCTGGTATTCATTTTGATATCAGTGAGCCTTGATGATGTCACATATGCCCATTGATGACGTCATAGTTATGATGACATCACAGTAACTATGACGTCATCACACAAGACAGAAACATCCTTGTATCACTGTTCTGTTTTGTTTTTCACATGCACATGATCTTAAAGCATCATATTTTACCCCAAAAAAAAAATTATTCCTGAAAACTACAAAGTTATTCAAGTTTTAATTTTTCAGATTACCTCCCTTTGTTGGTAGTTTGAGAGCAGAATTGGTAAAAAATCACCTAGCAGGAGAATTCATATTACTCGGTCACTTTTAAAGTGAGAAAGGAAACGGATACATCTTTTTGTTCATTGTGTCATTTTCCAGACATTTAAAAGGTTTTGATTGAATTTTGGGGGGAAAAAAGGGATGTATAAGGTAGCAGAGTACAGTAGCGTACGGTGGCCATGGGTGATATTTTTATACAATGAATAACCCCTGTAATATAACATGTATCAAAATTTAAAAAAAAAATCAGCACTAAAATTGGCATATACATGATGAAGTGGACTATGTGGGCTTCATAATTTTTCAAAAAAAAAATCGAATTTGGTTTGAGACTACAATTTTGGGCATTTACAAATCTGTGTCTACACAACAAAAGCTAGCTTTTCATGTAGTCTATTTTTGTACTCAGCACATGTGTAAATATTGTGAAAAATCCGCTAAAACGTGAGTATTTCTGTTACCGAGTAGGCGATATTTAATTTCAGACAGGTTTGAAGAAAAACAATTCTACTTGTGGGGGTCAAATTCTGGGTTAAAAATCATGATTTTTTGCATATTTTGGTGTTTTTTGATGTGGTACCAATGGTTTTCAGAAGTCCCAAATCTGGGGAAATCACTTTTTGAAAAAAAAAATGTTCTTCTAAAAAACACCTATTCAAATTTAGTTTATAAATATATACATATATGTAGGTGTGTTGTGCAGGATGAATCCGCTATCCATGTTTATCCGAGACATGCCCTTTATTTTTAGGGTCAAGCCATTTCTACTGTACTCTGCCACCTGACCTTGAAAGTTGGTCAAGGTAATTTTAGTTCTCAAAGTTTGTCAGGCTCTCACTAATGAGTCTTTAAGCCAAATATCATGACATTAGGACTGTCCATTATTCAGAAGAAGTTGTTAAATTTGTTTGCCATATTTGACCCCTGTGACCTTGAAAGTAGGTAAAGGTCATTTTCATTCTCAAACTTTGTCGGGCTCCAACCCTAATATTAAGATTCTATAACTGTCAGTTCTTCAGAAGAAGTTGTTAAAAGAAAAAGTTGACGGACGACGAGACACCGCGCCATGACATAAGCTCACTTGCCCTTCGGGCAGATGAGCTAAAAATGTTTATGATTTGGCCATCAGAAACAGCATGATATCAACTTTGGAGATGTATATGTGAATAATACCCACCTGGCTGATACCAGAGAGAGCCGGTGATAACAGCTTTGGAGATGACCTTTCATCCGAAGTGTCCTCATCAGCCAATACCTGTTTCATCCTGTGCAATGCCTGTACTAATGCCTTACTTGCATCAGATTGTCCAGTAGCATGGGTGTCATTCTCATCCTCTGAGAGAAGGACTTCTGAATTATATTCTTCATCCATTATTGTCCAGGAGTCAGAACCGGAGTGGTCAGAGAGTTTTGTGATGTCCTCATCATTGTCACAATACTTTGCTGAATTGTAATATTTTCCTTTGCAAGGTTGAATGGCCTGTTTTGTCTTGTTCTTCAAGGATCTCCTTTGGTCTGATGGGCTTTCAGGTACCTTTGCATCCCCAGAAGCATCTACAAATGGTGGCAACACATTCTCCTCTTTCTTCCCACTTGTCATGAATCTATCTGAAACATCTTGCAATTCTTTTTCTTCTGTATAGGCCTCTTCCTCTCCAGCAAGTCTTCTGGATGATCTACGCTTCTGTTTTTTAAGTTTGGATGATCTGTCCAAGTTGTTATCAGACGGCTTTGTACCCAAATCCTCCTCACGACATGAGGATCGCCGTGCCTTTCTGGGTATTTTTGATGCCTCACGAAGGTTGTGTGTGTGGACACTCTCATTCATCTGTGGTGTGATATACTTTGTCTCCTCCCTCTGTACAGGTGTCGAGTCATAGTCCTCCGTTACCATGGTAACAGAGTGAGGTTTCAGTCCTGTTCTCGACTCTTTCTTGGTGAAGGAAAGAGATTGGACTTCAGTCTCTTTTTTATTTTGTTTGGTTCTCATTGAGGACCTTGTCTTTCTCGATTCCAGAATAGGAGACCTCATGTCATGGACTGAACTTTGGCTGTTGTCACTAGCAATGTAATTTGATTGACTGCTGTCATTAGAACAGTCATTGGATTGGTTGTAACTATTAGCACTGTCATTTGATTGGCTGTTACCATTAGCACTGTCATTTGATTGGCTGTTACCATCACCACTGTCATTTAATAGGCTATTTTTATGACCTTTGTCAATTGATGGACTGTTCTCATGTAAGCTGTAATGTGACTGATTATCAGTTTCTGTTTTCTCATCAGAAAAATTTCGTCTCCTTCCTTTTGCTCCATCAGGCAGTTTTTCTTTCTTCCCCCTTACGTCTCCATAATTGACTGGTAGTTGCTTTCTTGCTTTTTCTGAACAGTTTCCTGCCACTCCTCTCTTCTTCTTTTCTCTTATAATATTTCCTGAATTTGTTGGTTTCAATATATTCTTTCCTTCTACTGTTTCCATGAGGCTCTCCTTTCGAAGTTGTGTCTTATCTGGTTGTTCTTTTATTTTCTTTGTGCCTACTATTTTCTTCCTTTTGTCCAAACTTGTGTCAAACTTCAATACATCTCTGTCTCTTGTTCTTGTCTCCTCATTGAAGTGTTTATTCCGATAACTGCTAATTAACTCCCCTTGTCTGTCTTCCTCCACAATCATATTGTGGTCATCAATGTCATCAAAGTTGTAGGAGTCATCTGCACGTCTGATAAGCATAGCATTGTATTCATCTTCAGAGTCGTCATCTTGGCTGTTGTCTATATCGTTGTAATCCTGTATCTGTTGGAATTTCTCATTTTTGTCAGTGGAGAAGCTGACTCGCCCCTTAACCTTTGTTTTAGGAGTGACATCAGTCCTACAAATAACATTTGAATTTTTAAATTATAATGAGAGTTTCTGCGAAAACATTCATGTTTAGGCAGCAAGTTGAAGCACTGGTCAACTAATGGAAAAATATCTATTTACATATATTTAATCAATAACCATAAGAAATTATGTTGTTCATGTATCATATAAGAAAACCATGAGAATGCAATCTAGAACTTTGTCAAACAAAAGTCGGTGTCCTTCCATATTAAAGGAGATCTAAATTTTTCAACCACCTGTAAAATTAATGAAAACTCTTTATATATTGCTAGAGTATAAAAAAATATTTTCAGATTTAGTTTTAGCCAAGTACATGCATAGATATATATCTAATGTAAATATCCAATGATCATGGTGTGGAAATGCTCAAATTTTTACTGTTTAGTAAATTAACAAAAATGCAATTCCATACACAAATGTTTATTTATGGATTGTATAGATAATCTATATATGGATGTCAGAACAACTGCCAAAATGAAAGTTTCCACACTACGATCACTTAAAAGAGTCACAACTGGAACATTTCCACACACAAATAATTCCACTTTTACAGTAGTTACTACATTTTTCACATTTTTATACAGCTTATCAATTAATGTTAAATGTATTCAGCTTAATCAATTAATGTTAAATGTATAGTTGATAATTTATATTATCTTCAAACAAGTGGAGGCAGTGGTAAAGACAGACACCCTTGGATTTGAAAATAGAAAATATACCATGATACAGAGAAACAACGAGACTCTGATTGGTTTATATGGCTATTAACTCATTCACCCCTGAAATTTCATAATGACCTGTACCAACCTTTGAATTGGAAGAGTTCAAATGTGTCTTATGGGGGGAATGAGTTAATATCAAACTGGTTATATGCAACTGTTATATACTGATTTTTTATGTATTTCAACAAGAAATCCAATTGAATCAATTTTTAATGTCATGTGAAATGATGCATTTCACATTTATCTTGTTTTACTTACATTGTATTTTAGCAATTATCAGAGGGAAAGTCAAATGATCATTATAGTGCACATGCATCAATGTGCAATTGTGAAATTGGAAACTATATTATAAAGTCAAAATATTTCACATAAGTTTCATGGTCACCATCTGAATACATATATTTATTAGTTCTAAACTCTTGCTATTGTTTTTCCTCAAGAAAATCAGACTGAAAATAAAGGCAAAATTACTGCAGAGTTGTAACATTAGGAAAGTTTAACTTGTAAAACAGCAGCATTTAAAAGCTTTATTTATACCTGCTTCTTTTAAGGATACCCTGAGTAGAATGCTCATCCTGAATGATATTTGGGGCCTTGAGAGGCAGCTTGCTTTTGGTGTAGTTCTTCTGTGTGAACATATCAAACTTCTGATGAGGTGAAGATTCTGAGTTAGGACTTTCAAACAATTTGGGACAGGATGTATCATGCCTGATGCCAGCACTAATGTTGGGAGAGACCCCTGGAGAACTGTAAAAGTCACTCCTGTACGCAGAATCATCATTCTGTAGTCTGCCATCAACTGGTGAAGTGAGCAAGCTCATCTGATAGGGTAATTCCATTGAATCATTTTCACAACCAATTTGATCACAGATTTCTCTTTGATTAACATCAAGCCTGCCTCTTACTTTCTGTCTCTTTTGCTTTGATTTTGCTGTCACCTTGGTCAGATCTTTGGTTGGAGTTTTTACTAGGACAGATTTGGTATAGAACTGTTTAGCCTCCTGCTTCAATCTGTTCCAACTGTCCTTGACCTTACGGCTAATCTGTACAGGGGAGAGAAATGGATAGCGGGACCTAAGCAATACTTTCTGTTCCTGCTCATACATACGATAGCTGACCTTCTGCTGCACCATATACTCATCTTGTCCATCATCTTGAAACATATTGAATAATTTGCTCAATTATCACTAGGGCAACCTGCAAAAAAATACATCAATATGGATATAAATACACTAGTTGCAGAGAAAATGGTCAACTCTATGTAAATAACAATTATTATGTACCAGTCAATACTAATCTGCTATAGTTTACAAGCTGTGTGGCAATAAGAGCCCACATGCAGGTTTTTATCTAGACTGGATATTCCTAGCACATCTCCTCTCAGACTTCTAATACAAATTACACTATGTTGTAATTATATGTTCATATTCTGGATAATATCGTGTCATATTGTTTCCTTATTTAAAAGATAAAAAAAAATAAGTATAATGTATTACGAACTTGGAGAAAAGGTAAGTTCTTAGTGCGGAAGTCACATCTTTTCCTTATCCTTCACAAGCTAGAAATTTCACTAGGAAATAAAATTACAAATGTATCGTAAACTTATGACATGAAATAGAGAATAACAGGTTGTAAATAAGTGCTTAGTGCTTTTCCAAATGTGTTCCGAGTGTCGTTATTTGTTTAATTCTAAAATTAAACTGATTTTGACATAACAAAGACTAAGATTGTTTTAACACAAACAGGAATTGAAAACTAAGTTTTAATAAGGAGCGAAAAAAAAAGATTTTTTTCTATCCGTTATACTCCACAGAGACCAAAATGGCTTTAATGCACACTTTGTGATTTAGGTACTATGTGAATACACTAATTTCTTACTAAGAACTACTTTTCGAATGAAATGAACGTAAAAGTGTCATTACCAGACTAATTTTACGCAAATCATTTATATTTTACCGCCATCTTCTTACTAAAAACACGGGAGAGCTCCAAATTCATCGAAATTTCACGCGAGACTTGGAGGAAGTGACGTCATCAGTTGCTATCAAACAAGCAGGTTGGCATGTTGTTTTGACAAGGTAAGAATGAAAATCAGCTGGAAATAACGAAAGTAAGCGTTATGGCTGTCGTCGGTGGAGTGACGGACTTTACTGCCGATGTGTTTGATTTCTTTGATACACCACGGAACGAGGATAATCGCATTCAAGAGAACACAAAGCCGCGAAAGGCAGCAGGTAATTCTGGCAACGAACCACAAAAATCATCCAAACATGACGCTTTTAATGCACAAAAGAGTAAGGCACAGAGAAGCAGGCGATCACATAGTGATTCTGACTCGTCTCATTCGAGTGACAGTGACAGTAGTGATATAGATACAGATTCTGTTGGTAGTTACAAACGTGACAATCGAGCGAAAAACGGCAAAGCAAGCCCGGGGGTGGTGGTGAAAGGAGAGACTTACAGTGATGATAGCTTTACAGACAGCTCCAGTGCTTATTCGGACGATTCGACGGATGGCGAAGAGGATATCATAGAGACGGAACGAGAGAGATTCAGACAGAAAAACGAATCCAAGGAATCTAAATCCAACAGACCTTCAGATTTACAAGTACACAAAACACCTGTGCATGAGGCAGATTCACCCTCAAAGGAGGCATGGTCGACAGGTGGCATTCGCAAAGTGGAAATACATCCATCAAGGTCTGATATGGAAGATGAAGATGATCGTGGTATATCTGTTTCTAACCGATCCAGACCTAAGAGTTCAAAACAAAGAAGTCGAGGAATCAGTACGAGTAATGAACGTTTATTTCGTGAAAGGTCTAAGTCTGGTTCAGATAGTGAAATGACTGATGTTTCCCCATTACCATCGCCTAAACACTCTCCACGCTCACATAATGGACACGCTAATGTGCAATATGAGGATGTACCTAACATAAAGCTAGATAATAAACAGTTGGATCTGAGTGTTCTAATGGATGCTGTTCAGGAAATTGAACAAGAGCAACAACGACGGGAGAGGCTAAAATTAAACTCACGCAGGGTAATGTTTGCACCTCCCAAAGCTAAACTGACATCTGAACATGGAAACTTTACGTATGACCAAAGTCGTACTCAAACCATAGAGAAGGAAAATCAGAGACTGTTAAAGGAAATCATGAAGCATGTAGGTCCAAAGAAGAAACAGTCTCAGCGGGTAAAAGCAGAGCCATTCATTCAGCGACTGACACCCTCTGCGGTGAACAGGAAGCGGGAACAGCGCCGTATTGAGTCAGATAACATGGTAGGTTGTACAAAGAGGAAGATTTTTAGGGATATATATGGTATCATAAATATAAGTTAGAATGGTCATTAATAAATGTGTTTGTATAGTGAAATTGCTGTAGCACAAATAATAAAGTAATCAAGAATGGTAGTTCAACTGGATTTGTTCGCCTGACTGAAGGCCACTCATGTAGATTATACTCCACACGTTAGGAGATTAGCTTTTAATCTGGTAGGTCAGCACATTGGAATCAAAGTGTTAAATGAAAGCAAAATGTAGTGTAATGTATGTAATGTTTTAATGTCTGGTTACCTGATTTGGGAATAAGAATAAATTAGATATATTTTTTATGAAAATAATGTGTTTCTCCCTCACCTGTTATTGTTTATAAATCAGTTTATATATATAGTTGGTACATGTTCAATTTGTCTTACCCACAAGATGGTGCACACTAAGCCTTCCATTTTGCTATGAGTATGACATTTTCGAGGGGTGCAGATCTAGAGAGCGTAAGTGACCATAACCCCTGGAATATCGAGGATGCTTTGTAATATATACTTTCTGTGACTGCGAGTGGTGTAATGTACTTTATCATATTTGAAGTATTGAAGTACTAACAGCATGCAGGCAAAGTATAAATTCTATTAGCCTGACCTATATTTTTGTAACCAATATTTTACTTTTTATGAAGAAGTGAAAGTCAGAATCTCACTAATGACAGCCATATTGCAGGCATACCTAATGAGTGAGGCAGGTATATACTTCAAGTTTCATCATGACATCATTATCTGTCTAAATCTTATATATATATTGCACTTGTGTTGCCTTTGACTTTGAGTTGGAGGTCACAATGAGGTGTAGTTACCTTGTTTTGCACACATTCTTTTTGGGTGATACTTATACATATACATGCATGCACACTTCAACTCTCATCAACATGTGTCTTCAATGATCTAAATGTTTGGCCTGGATGAGATTTCATGCAAAATTTTACACCTATTTGACCTTGGAAGTTGGATCCAGAAGTGAGTGTCACAGTGACCTAATTACATTGCACAACAAACCTTCTATGGCTGATTCAGGCTGGATTAATCCAATGTAAGCAAGGTATCAAAATGATTTAAAAGTTAAGGCTCAGAAAAGATTTCTTTGGGAATTTCACACGTCTTATTTAATTATTTGACCTGGACTAGATATATATTAAAGGTCACAGCGAGCTGATTCATTGTAGTACATGTATAATGCACCCCAGCTGTGATGCAGATATGTACCTCAAGTTTCATCAAGGTAGATATGTAATCAATGTTTCGAAGTTACAGCCCAGACAAGAAGCAGAAGAAGAACTATTTACTAGTATAATATACATCTCCCTTCATTGGTGGAAGCTTAATAGGGAGACTTTGTTGAATTTGGAATCTATAATGAGTCATGTATACATGTATCAAAAAGTGGTCTAATCATATCATTTAGGTCCATGTAACAGTATACAATTGTTTCATGGCTATTTGGGGAACAGTCAAAACTATCATCCCGAGGTAGGGGGAAGCCCTGGGGAACTGTTTGCCCGATGCCGCTAGGCCAAGGGCAAACAGTTCCACAGGGATTCCCCCTACCGAGGGTGATGCCATTGCTTCATCACTGAGTTGTGCTCACCGCATCGCTTGAACGGGGCTCTCGAGGGGGGATTTCTGCGCATCAAATTCGCACCGGGTAACAGTTGGCTCTGACCGGAAAAACAGTTTTGACTGTTTCACCCCTACAGCCAAATTTGGACAAATACAGCCGAAATTGGACAAAAGGCCAGAAACAGTCAAAAATGACTATAATTTATATAGACTATTGGGTAATAATATCATTTAGGTCCATGTAACGGTATCATATCATTTAGGTCCATGTAACAGTATCATATCATTTAGGTCCATGTAACAGTATCATATCATTTAGGTCCATGTTTTAACAGTAGCATATATGATTTACAGTAGGTCCATCTAACAGTATCGTATCATTTAGGTCCATGTAACAGTAGCATATGATTTACAGTAGGTCCATGTAACAGTATCATTTAGGTCCATGTAACAGTATCATATCATTTAGGTCCATGTAACAGTATCATATCATTTAGGTCCATGTAACGGTATCATATCATTTAGGTCCATGTAACAGTAGCATATGATTTACAGTAAGTCCATGTAACAGTATTGTATCATTTAGGTTCATGTAACAGTATCGTATCATTTAGGTCCATGTAACAGTATCGTATCATTTAGGTCCATGTAACAGTCAAATAGGTTGTCAATAACATTCAACTATAGGTGTACATAAAATTTAAGTGAATTAAACTTAAAGGTAAAATGACACTGTATTATTTACCAATAACAAGCTACTTGTATAGGTAATGTAGACAGCTAATCCTAACGACTCGGCGGTAACATGTCGATATCTTGGTTTTGTGTTCAGCCACAAACCATGAATATCTATTCAGTTTGTTGAAAATGCCTGACAAATTATTTTTCAAACATCAATCCACTCTCTTTACAATATGTGAATCGAGCAAGTACATATTTAGACTGGACAGTCTAATCTATACATGAAGGAAAATCTTTATTGTGAGGATTAAATGTAATCCACCACATATAATTGATCTTTTAAATACACAATAAATTAAAAAGTGTTTTGTGTTGAATGGTGCTGATATGATTATGAATAACAACACATTTCAATGCTATTTGAAAATTGAAGGTCTAGATAAACTGAATATGGTTCTACGAGTTTAAGAATAATCAATATTGAATTTTCATTTCCTAAGTACATTTTCATATGCAGTAGATTTCTCTTAATATCACTTCCCATTTGTCAGAGAAAATCATGATATTAACAGAAACATGGCATAAGCAGAATACATATTTTCTGATGTTTTTCAGTCCTCAAAACTGGAAGTGAACTTAGTCAAATGCCTAAGTGATGTGGCTCTACGAAGAAGATTGATATTTTGTAACTAACCCTGTTCTTTACCCTAGTTGAAATATAGATATAAGTAAATAAGTATAGAAATAAATATATTATTTGTATTTCATTTCAGTATGCAGTTACATTTCATATAGTTATTAGCAAAATGACGATCAGTACGATTGTAATTATGATTGTTTACTGTAGTAGTGATGTAGGCATACAAGTGTTTGGATGGTATTCTACATCAAATCCAATTGTAAACATGAGAATTGGTAAATATTTACCTCTGTCTTGATATATATAATGTTCTTTCGCTAGTAACATCTTTTTATAGGTTAATTTTCTTAGATATTTGCTGCAAGTGTGTAATCGAAGATAGTACACATGTTATAATTAGTTGAAAGAATACATCACCCTTGGCATTAGAAACGTTTACAGATGTTAGACTGTCCTAGCTCCCCCAACCACAGGTGAATATCATGTTAACAAGTATGTAAGTCAACCTATTGTTTAACAGTCAGCCAGGTGTAACCTATTGTTTGACAGTCAGCCAGGTGTAAAAAATACCCTGTTAGGCCAAGGCATTGTTTACATAATGCATCCAGGGTGTGACAGAAGGTCCCCAGGGCATTTATCATGAATCAATACCACCATTTACCTGTATTTTTTGGCGAAAGTGGCCAAAATAAAGTGATATTAAGAGAAAGCGACATAAAATCAGGTGATAATAAAATAATTGAATTGCATAGATTATATAGCAGGAAAAACGGTGCATCAAAAAAACATGATAATAACCGAAAATTGACATTAACAGACGTGATATTAAGTGAAATGTACTATATATGTGATTTGTCAGTGTTTCTACTTTTTACATTTTAGAAATACTGTACATGTATTTCTGTATGCTTCAAAGTCTTAAGTTTCAACCTATTTTTTTCCTGTACATGTCTCTAGTACAAACAATCATAAATGCACAAGCAAAAAGCTGGTTTGGGTGAATTATTCCTGCATTACACAATTAATAATCAATAAAAATTACATTATCATTATTTTCTATAAGATCGATCAAATCAATCTCCTCCAAGTCACCAAATTTAATCTTGGTTGAGTCTAAAAAACATTGTAGATGACCAAGGCATTCTTTATTCTTATTTCAATGGTGAGCAAGCTACCATTTTGTCTTTTATAATTATAATCCCATTGTAATTAAGTGTATCATAAATTTACCATGCAATGGGTTTTCCCTTGTGTCAGTCTTAATAAAAATGTAAAAGTAAAATTGCCAATTGGAAGTTTGAAAGTTGACTATCTTTACAAGCAAACAGTATGTGTACCTTATGTATCAGCATGTATAAATCATGTTTATAATCTTAAAAGTAAAAAAATGTGTTTCAAGTTACAAGAACAAAGTACCTTTAATTATATATATTTCAGTTCAATATGTTTCATGTTGGTTTACAGATCTCTCAAATGGAATCAGTTGATAAACAAATATCCTTCAAATTGAATATAATATGCATATGTACAATGGTATGATAAAAGCTATTGACATATTTTTACCAAGTATAGAAAATATTGGAAAATGGAGTTATGTTATGTCAAACCTAGCTATGTATGCTTTTGTTGCTCAGACATCCTCAGTGTTTGAGAAGTGTTATTGGACAAACATGGCAGGCCTCCAAAGGTAGCAGTGTTGTCATGTTTCCTTGGATATGTCAGAAAATGTTGAAGTTTATTTAATGTTGAGCTACATGTATATACAGCTAGGTAAACATTCCAATTGCATATTGACTCAACCATTTAAACAAGTCTGAGAAGGATGTGGACATTTATTTAATGTTGTCTGTCTGTTCCAGTTATTCAGTTTATCACCTGTTTTGGCTATAAAAACACGTTACACAGTGTTTCTTCACTGCCAGGGCTTGATTAGGATTGCTTGTTGAGGTCCTAAGGTCAAAGGTTATGTCACTTCCAACAAATAAAGAATTGGTTTCCACATGAAAAATGTCTAAAGGCCAATCAAACCTCAACTTCATACACAATTTCCTGATGGAAAGTGCTTGATTGGG